GAGGTGGGGTATGCCCATAGTAGTCAGGATGCTGCTGTGTAGGCTCATGTACAAGCTTAAAGCCCAAGCTTTGAATTTACAATGCATCTAGGATAATTACCAATTCCCTCACAATTCGCCCATTCGGCCTCAGGAAATATTTTGCAAAAAAAGGCGGCTGGCCATCTGAAGATACTCTGAAGCGTACTTGGGCTGGACCTTGAACATTGAGTGTTGACTCTTCTTCATGTAGAGATACGGCCACATATCAATCCCTCACGTGCAGAATCTAAAAAACTCCAAGACCCTAATCCCCAACCCCTAAAGCTCCTAAGACCCCAAACCCTGGCTAAACCCAAACCCGTCTCAAACAACCTGCCTGGCCCAGCAGAGCCATGGGAGTTCTTCCTGGGTTGCTCTTAATGAACCTATTTTAACTTACTATAATAAGGGTATATAGGGGGCAACTAGCTAGGGGTAAATAAGGTTAAGGATTTAGGGTTAAGGAACTTAATTTACTATACTATCCCCCTAGAATAGAGCATCAAATGAAAAGACAATGGAGAATGAAATGCAAACTGGGGGACATATGGGTATTGAAGGTACTTAATCTAAGCTACCATATTATACTGGGGAAACATAGTAGTTACTATACATGGTAACTGAATTCAACCCAGTTTCTGTGTTGCCCGCGGCGAGCGGCAGACGTTGAGGAAAATACACAGCTGGCTGAATGGGATATGGCGGCAGTGGGCAACAATACGTTGGACACATCAGCACTGATCTAGGGCTCATACCTGTAACCCCAAGCCCCTGTGGTTTGCTAGTAGCAACCGTCCAAGTAGTAGGTATAAACTTTCAACTGCAGGTAGTTCATTCGGGTTACAGGTAATGTAGACTTACCTTTCCAAGAGTGGTGAGAGCGCTAGGGCCTGGTGTTCTGGCAACCTATTTCCGTTGCTTCCAAGAGTGGGATCCCCGCGGACGCTGTCAGCATCAAGCTGTTTCCACGAACCCGGGGCTAGAAGGCCAAGTTCATGAGGGTACTTCGTGATGGTATACTGTAAATGTTGCATGGCCAAGCTTTCAAAAGTTCTCTGCGCAAGCTTGGCCAAGTTCAGTTCACCTCATCCAAAATGAGATACGGGAACCTTGGGAATGCTCAAGTCGCCGGACAACGCGCGACGAGAGAGCAATGATGGTCTCATCTGCATTCTCCTTTAGCCGAGTTATCTTGAAACTCCAATTAGTATAGGGTTCCCCAACGCTTCATGACATTTCCCATGTCCAGAGCCTAGCTCAGACCACTGATTAATCAACCCCCTCCCCTTAATAGGGATTATAATAGGGATCCTAATATTTAAGCCCTTAAAGGGAGGGGGTTTGTTTAATCATGGGTCTACATTAAACCCTAAACCTAAATATTAGTTTCCATTTTCTTTTCCATCATCCCTATATAACCCGCTTTGGATTTCCCTCCAGAGATCTCCGGAGCCGATAAGGAGTCAAACCTGATTTGCCTCCGAGTGCCCCACAAACTCGGCTTTCTTGGGATAATGTATGAGAAAATGAAAATTACTATAGTATATTGGGGTTATATGGAGATGATGGAAAATAAAACGGACACTACTATAATGGAGTTATATGAGCTATAGTCTAAACTCCTAATATCCCCCTTAATAACCCCTTTAGTAGTCCCCTATACAATCCCTATATAACCCCGTTTCAGTTGTTTAGATTATAGCTCATATGACTCTTATGAACTCTTCTGAAAGGTCTTCAAAGAAGGACTCGTAGCTTGGGCAGAAGCACACACAACCGGAAACGCGGAGGGACCAGATTCAGCTCGTTTTGCCATGCAGCCAATGAAAGCTCAGGCTTCCTGGAGCCTGACCTATCTGCTAGAGGCCAGAAGAAGCAGCAGGAGTAAGTCGCGTGGGCAGTTAGTTTATACTGGTACAGGCTGGCTACATTGTATGCATGGGGCTCCTCTTATGCAACTTCCCAAGTATCCTAGCAAGATCCAGATACACTTCATCAAGGCCACAACTCCTAGGAACCCGTACAAGAAGTGGCCATCATGCAACTCAGCTTATCCTTAATTACTCTCGAGGTTTCCTTCCCAACAATGCACTAAAGACACCTAAACCTCAAGCTCAGGTACATAGCATGTGCCCACCACTCAGGGACCACGCCCATGCAGGGGGGATCTACAGAACATCCAAAGAGTGCGTCAGCATACCGGTGGCATCTTCTCCATCTTCGACAACAACCGGGCCCAGACCTGAGCCGGAAGCCCTAAACCCTTCAAGGGGCCTCAGGGTTGTGGGGTTCAGGGTCAGGGGTGGGCTTTTGAGGTATTTCTAAATTTTGTTGGGGTTCTTTTTTTTGGGAGGGGGGGGGGGGAATCCCTGGATTCGACTATAATGCTGGGTATGTAGGGGGCCTCTTATTCTGGCAACTTGCAATCCGAGCGCAAATCTTATGTTGAGGCCAACGCGAGGTACCTTATACCATGCGTAATTTGAGCACGACTCTAGGACCATGACATTGGTAATTCTGTGCTCCTACAGTACATACTCCCCAGCAAAACCCTGGAATCCCATTCCCGTTTGTTTTTCCATGCTCTCTTGAGATGATTCTCCATTATACAGCTATACCTCCCCATAGAATCCCTACATTATGTGGGCCTGGCATATGCCAAGCGCAAATTAGTACGTCACTAGATTGGCAAGCCCTCGCTGATCGACGCGTGCACTTTTTTCCTATAATCTGATTCATGGTGCCATGCGGGGCATATCATAAGGCTGGAATGGCAGGGACACCAACTATCAAAAATGAATCCAATTAAACTTTAGGGGTTATATTGGGGTTATATAGGCATACTGGGGTTATATAGGGAATACTTATATTAGGATAATGAAAAATAAAATGGAAACTACTATAAGTACAATTGTCCTTTTGCTGGTGATGTCCTCTTGCCTTTCTGCTTTTGCTGCTTTGTCCATGCGCCAAAGGGACCAGGCCATCAGGAAAAGGAGCCTATTAGCCGATTGCCTAGGACCTCGTCTTGTATGTAACATACAGGTGGTTAGTGGGGCATGAGGGAATATTTTGTAGTGTGTGCAAATAGGATTACATGCCCCTGTTTACCTACTAACCACGAATAAGGCAAGTGAGGACTCTGCACTTGATCGTAACCCCGTATACGATACAGTAGTTTCCATGTTCTTTTCCATTATCCCTATATTAACCCCAATATAACCCCTATATAATCCCAGATTCCATGTCATTTTCCATTTTCTTTTCCATTTGATTCTCCATTATTGGGGAAATAATATAACCCTAAACTAAACCCTATGTAACGCCTATGGTGCCTGGCCTTGCCTCATTCGGGCAGGGATGCCTGCGCTTCCAAGCCCCTGGTCACTGCACCGCAGCCAACGCTTTATGCTCTGCTGGTAGACTACAGCATGTTTTGGGAGCCAGACAGCACCCAGCTGACTTTGGGGTTGCGCACATCTGGCAAGGCAGCAGGTCAGCTTATTTCTCCCCGAAGGAAGTCGTTCATCCTCGCTTGGGTGCTTTGTCGGGTCCCTTTTAGTCCTGGTTCCAGCTGGAGCACATCACGCAAAGCGCAAATAGACCCCATCTCCAGCTGCATGTCCGTGAGCAAGTTTGCCCTGATTCCAGCCGAAACTTTGCATCTCAGTTGCCGTGATGTGTCTTGGGGCCTACAACAAAGATATTGATCACAACTAGCTCTATGACTCAGATGTTGTCAGAAAGTAGAACCGTCTTTGGCCCATCTGAAGACTGTAGGATAATCCACACTGCAAGGCCCACTTTTCAAGTGCAAGGTTTGCCAGGAGCCGAGCACAAAGCATTTGACCATTCCATCAACCTTGAACGCCTGAAAAGTATTGACGATGCAAAAGCACTCGAAGAAGCACCGTTACTGCAACCCTTTTTAGGTGAGGACTCTCTGACGTACCCCACAACTCGCACTCGCCGATTGCTGCAATCCCAAACCGACATGATTCATTGTGAAATAATTTGGGGCTTTTCTTCCTACCTCGCATGGCGTGGCGGAAGGGTGTGGACCTTCAGGACTTACCGGCCCACGCCTTCCTTCTCCCCCGCCTTCATGTATACCTGGTGTTTTTTTTGCAAGAACGTCACATCATAATTTTGTTGGATGACTCTACCTTGTTCAGGGGTCTTCAGGACAATAATAGCAGTAATAATAGTAATAATAATAATAGTAATAGTAATAGTAGTAGTAATAGTAATAGTAATAGTAATAGTAAAAATAATCATAATAATATAATGGTAATAATATTGGGGCTCGCAGCTGGAGACAGGGTATCAGCACCTATGCTGATTTTTGGCTGGATTCCGCGGCAACGCCTGCCGCGCTAGCAATTTATTAACTGCCAAGCAGTAGAAGCACACGCTAACTCACCATTGCCCTTGTCATTGTAAATCTGAATCCTGCCACGTTCAAGATTACCATTATCACTATTACTATTACTATGACTATTGTTATGACTATTGCTGTGACTATTACGATGGCTATTACTATTACTAGTACTATTACTATTACTATCACTTTTAGTATTATTATTACTACTACCACTACTACGATTCTTATACTACCAATTATTGTTACTATCCCTAGTACCAGGGAATCCTCTGAGCTTGGCAACCTCCGCAGGTCTTCCGCAGCTGTACAAGACAGACGGAGGGGCATAGCTTCAGACTAGAAGCTAAGCCAGCTAAGCTATATAGTCTAAACTCCTGGTATCCCCCTTACTAACCCCTATAGTACTCCCCTATACAACCCCACGTTAAGGATTTCACACTACAGTACAGCTAAGCTGAGCTCTTGCAAAAAAACTGCCAAACGCATGTGATCAACAATGCTATTGCTTGTTCCGCTGATAGCAAATGTTTCTGATGATGGGGCCGGATGCAGGAGCGAGATTGCTCCAAAACTACCCCCAAATCTTTCCTGATTGCTAGGCACTAGCCGGACTCCATGTCGAAGACTCCTTCAGCTTCACGATGACGACGGTCATGTTATCGGTGCCCAGGCCCTGGGTCTTGCTGGGGTCCTCCGCATGTAGAGGACTCAGGGGGATAAGATGACACATGCAGTGTACTCTTCATCCTGCGTTTCTGGCGAGCAGGGCTTATGTAACGTGCCCTCACGGCTGTCCGGACATGTCTTTTGACTACACGCAGGTGGTAATTTTGAAGGGCGCGCTGGCCCCGCCCGAGGACACTGCGTTTCAAAACGATGAAGCCAAGCCCTACGGAGCTTGAATCACACACATGGCAATCGTCAAAGGTCATGAGGCAAACACAGCGACCACACACATACTCCAATTAAGCTGTTCACCGTATACATACACTGACCCTGCAACTTTTTTAATATGTGGGTGCTGGTAGCCGGCAGCAGGCTTAGTACCATCACTGCACTGGTTCGCCTAGGGCAGCCAGTACACCCACACACATAATGTCAGCAGTTTTCAAGAAACCCTGATCAACCCAGGTTCTCCCAAATAAGAGAGCGTAGTCTGCTACCGCGGGGAGACCAGAGATTCCGCGTAGTCTACGTAAGCCTCCCTCGTTAATATAGGAAATTTCATAAGCAAAAGCCAAAACGGAATGATGCAAAGCTTGGGTTACACTTTGGGGAGACGAACAGGTCTACCTTCATGTTGAATCCCGATTTGTGTTGAGGGGTTACTTTTGCAAAGTCTTGAAGAAATTATTCAGCACCCCTGATTCCCTTCATGGGTTTTGATTTTGGTGGCGGGCCTGCGCTACCGAGCGCGGAAACCCTGGTCCTGTTGAATTAAAAGCTGCGACCCGTATCGGTCTTGGGGGACACTAATCAGGACCCAACCAACATTAAGAAGGACGTCGCACATGAATGATTGATGGACTCAAAAGTCTTTGCAGCTTGCTTCTGCGAATCGTTTAGCCTACTTGCACTGCATCTCAGCCTGCCTAGCCCACCATCCACAGCAACAAGCAACCACCCACCATCAACTTTCTGTCCTCTGAGCAGCAATGCTCCAAGAGTTCCTCCGAGATAACCTTCATCTCCAAGCCTTTCTCCTTAGCTTGCTAAGCTCCTCTGATGTATAGACCAAATGAAACCCTCATCAGGGTTTCCGAAGCAAGTACCCAGCAGTAGATATTCCGACTATCTATACGACTCTAAGAGCCCCCCAAAGGGACCAAGCTTTGGCGTCACTGCTCACTGGGTTGAGTAAACACGAACAGCACGCCAGCTTTCCTAAGAGTGCAAGAACAGATACCGTACGGCAGGCTCCACAGATTGCAAAGCAAGGGCTTGCGACTGCCATGTGCTGTCCCGGTCACAAGACGTGGTTTCACAAAGTCGCAGATGTCCTGAGAAGGTATGCAAAGCAGGAACGGCTCAACTGGCTCAAAGGAAGTCCAGCTTGCGGCGCCTTCGCACACCTGAAGGGCTGTTAGGAACTCCATGGTAAGCACCGTGTATTGGCTTGCCTGTCCTGGTTGGACATGACGTCCCAAATGCCATCGCCTGCAGCAGCCGCATGGCAGGAGTGAATGGCGTGAATTTGAAAAAACGACTCATGTGAGTGCAGCCGCCGGCCGATGTTCCTGACCACAAATGCATACCAGGCACACGCCAGAACAATGAACTCATCTTCCGGCGTGAGCTCCCGAATCACCACATCAGGAGTGGAACAGATCACTTGCTCCTGCAATGCGATTGGTGAGCAGCTTTACATGACAACGGATGAGGGCAATTTGGCTGGGAAAAGTTTGTCCTGAGGAGGCAGATCCTCGCGCCTGAGCTGGACGGCAGTCAACCCGACACAAAGATTGGCATAGAGGCTTCCCAAAGTTATCTGAATGCCAAGAAGGGCTTGAAGGACTCTGGTTAGAGGGAATAATGGCACCACCTTCCATTGACATCTAATCATGTCACGGCTGAGAAACCCATAAGCACCTCAGAGCATTGTCCCGCCAGTCTAGGAAAATTACCTGCATTGAGGGCTTAGGTCTACAACTAATACCTTATCTCCAGCGAGCAGTGGTTGCCAGGACACTTCTTGTACTCGAGATCACCGATGGCGCGGCTCAGGTTCAAGTTTCCGTTGACACGCGCAACGCCCTGATTGTCCTGAGCGTGCGCCAGGGGGACATCGGGCGAGGAGAACGTCAAGGTCCTACTAGGAGCAAAGCAATGCTAGCGTAGTAAACTCCCAGTTGACCGGAAACCTCACCACGCAAACTCCCTCAAACCTGCGAAGCCTGCACAACCCTACCATCTTTGCGTATTTGCTGACAATTCGTATGGTCCCGGAATGCCTCCCTCTAGTGATCCTTCTTGTCCGCCTCTCGCTGTTGCGGTCGTGAATACTGCCCGTCCCTTACCACACCACCCCGGAATGAGGCCTAAAGGGCAGGTTCAAAGATACCCTGGCCCTCTATACTCAGAGGCTCATGCTCATATATACTTATGGCCTAAAAAATCTCAAATCAAGCCAGAATTTAGTAATTATCCCAGTTATGCTTACTCAAGCGCAGTGCTTTGCCGAGCCCAGAGGTCTCCCTGAACCTTGGACATCTCTAAGTCTTAAGCAGAGCCCAGGGGCCTCTACGGTGCCGCCTGCCGCCTCGATGCGGCTCTTCTCCGTCTCAGAGGCGGGCCTGGGCTCTGCGCAGAAATCATCAGAAATCCCAAGGGCTCGAGGTTTGAGCTTCAAATGTGCTACATAGGGTTATATAGGGATTATTTGCAACAAGTATAGGATCATATAGGGATAGTATGGGGTTACATGCGGATAATACAGGTAAGGCCAACTCTGGGCTCGTTTGGAGTTTAAAGGAAAGGCATTCATTTTCAGCACCCGCGTGGCCGAAGCATGGTGCAGCGTGGGTATGAGTATCAAATTGCTGTTGGATTGAGGCTCCTAAACCCTAAACTGTGAAGGATCCTTGGAGAGGGCTAGAAGTTCAGGGTTTAGGGCTTCGTCGGTGTTGTGAGGTGACAACAGAAGATTCCAAAAGACTACCCTTAAAGAATCCTATTTAATAGGGACACCCAAGTGCGGTCTCAAGGTCCAGGCCCCGGGGTGTTGGCATTCGGTCTTGCGGGTTCACTTCGAGCAGCCCTGTACTAGTAAGGGTTCAAGAAGCAGATTAAAATGCTCTTTCGAAATTCCAACATTCACGGCACTTAGCCACCTTGAACATTTCTTGCACATGACCCCAACCCCAAAATCCTGTAGCTCCTCCCCAAACCCAAGGCCTCATGGCTATCAGCACGAGTACAATTACAACACCGTGCCCTTTCAATCTTACAGCCTTGTTTTTGAGAACCTAGAGAAACATACCTAAGAGGGACTACAGCAGGCAGCGCCAAAGTGGGCAGTCGCATGTCTCCCCGTCCCCAGGCCGGCCCTAACCTAAACCTTGACCCAAACGCTTCTGCGATTGACCCACTGTTTCCGCAGCCTGTCATGGGAGCTGGGAGGGAAAGGATACTAGCATCACCTCAAGATCGCAGGTGGCCTTGGCAGAGTGTCCCAAGCTTTACAAACGCCATGGCCAACCTACTGTTGACTTGAAGCTTTTCATTCAAGCCAACCCTAAACCCTAAAGCCCCAAACCCTCCTTTAGGAAATGGTCTCTGCCCCAGCATCCCTACGTCCCGGTCGCGGGCTCTTGGAGTGGAAGCTGTAGGAGACTGATGGCTGCCAAATGCTCAAAAGTTCTAGGGTCCTGGGGATTAGGGGTTTAGGGTTCAGAGGTTTAAGGATTTAAGGGTTTAGGGCTCTAGGGTCTAAACCCTTTAAGGAACCTAGGGGCTTGTGGTCGTACGACAGCTCAAGGGCTTGGCCAGCTCGGCACATGACCGCTCTGCTGTCCCCAGCGTTGGCTGTGATGACGTCCTGTTCCAAGCTCAGTGAATCTGGGTTCAAAGGAGGGCGCCTAGAAGTACGGGTAAAACATGGTGTTCCTCAGTTCCTCGCGTAGAAGCCCTTTAGCCTTACAAACCTTAGCCACCCACTCTACAGAAACTCCGAGTATGGATTTGGGCTAGGGCCTTTAGGGATGTTTCTATACAGAAGGCCCCGCTAGCTCTCGCAACGTGCTTCACGCAAGCGCACAAACACTTCTGGGCACAGACCCCTTCTTGCACAAGCAAACCCACCAATAAACATCACAAGCTGTCTGGAAGCACATGGTGCCTCATTCCTGAGTCAGAGACCTGATAACCCTAAACCTTACACCCTAAGCTAAGGTTTCACCTGAACATCTTGACCCTCACTGCATGGCCCCCTCTAGCCGACTCCAACACTTCATGCTCCCCACCCTTCACCCCAAGCTAAAGAAAGTGCCCTACAACCCCGACTTCTATATGAGACCTTTTCCAAACCGATCCCTCATGTTTGGAAATCCTCGTTCACTCCTACATCCGAGGTACTCCCTGCGGCATTGGAGCCAAGTCCTGCTTCCGCACCACAACGCATACGGCCGTGCAGCCCACGGTGTCGGGAACAAACTCGTCCTCATTCTGCTGGTTCGAGGAGAGCATAGGTGAGCAGAGGCGTTGACAAGGATGCTTCTTAAAATTCTGGGTTGCTTCTGAGATCCCTCGAAAAGAGGAACACCCTAGAAGAGAAGAGCGTATCATGGTCGGTATATGTAAGGGACCCAGATCTTGACCAACCCGCTGCAAGGCAGCTGCGAAGCCCAAGCTTGGAGGTACAGAACTTCAGGCAACTCAAGCTCTGAAAGGCTGATGTTGGTTGACTGCTGCGGGACTGCAACTTAGCGTAAGGATGCATCATCACTTAAACCCTTGGTTTGGGTCAGAAGCCTGAAGCACACACACACAAACACACGAAAGGGTCTGCCAGAATCATAAGATCTTGGGCTTTCCAGCTTGGGGCAAGATCGGCTTGCCCATCCTCCTACGCCAATGGGCACCCCAGAAGCTCAGGCTGTAGCTCCCTTCTCTGCTTGCTTAAGCTTCTGCAACTTCATGAAGGACTCCTTCATCTCGCTCTGCTCCTTCATGAAGGCTTCGGAGTTTGAATTTTCGGGTTTGGGGGTCTGGGATGTAGGGGATGTGTGGGCTGAGGGCTGCAGTCTGTAGAGGGTTTCTGGGGCTCAGGGCTCATGATCGAAAATTTTCAGGCTCTGGCTCGCTGTTTTTGCCTAAGATCTCAGGGGCGGCGGGAGTCCCATGAAGGCGGAAATTTGGAAAGGGACCTCTGACTATGGGTCATTGTCTCGATATGTTTCCCTTGGGGAGCGGTAGAAATAAGAATGCTTCGCGGAAGGGCCCCCCACAAGCATACCAACACTGCTGCCCTCCAAGCATGCAGCACAGGCAAGCTCCTCACAACTTGAATCTCCAACCTTGACTACGGGTTAGGTGGACCCCCCGCCCTAAAATAGTGGCTATACGGGATAAGATGGATGAAATTACTGGGTGGGGGTCCTCCTTAACTACTGGTCACAAGAACGGCGTCAGCATGAGAAGGTGTCGCACAAGCTCATCAAAGGAATCACCATGACGCGCGGCTTCCCTACCATCAGAGTATCCTATGCAAAACAGCTGACCTCCCAACTCTGCGAAAACCATTCAAGTAATCCTCGCTCTCACTAAGTCTGTGCAATTTTAATCTTTGCTTTTTGGCCACATACCTGCTGTTGTGGAAGCTGATGCCAAATGCAGCTGAGCGACTACGTCGCTTAGACCACCTTTCCTTGGCATCATCAGCAGTCTACTCAAATCACACACACGCAACTGGAAAGCCCCCAAACTTGTCATAGCTGCTAGCTAGATGAAGACGTATGAAAACAAGCAACCCGCAATGGTGACGTTGCAAGGCTGGGTTCTGGGTCTTGAAAAGCATGGGAGACACGGAAGACATAATAGAGATTCCGAATAAAAAGTCGAAACAGGCAGCCAACCGTCAGAAACCGCTCTTCTGGCGAGAGTCTGAGATCGCTGGTGCATTGCTGCCAGCTGCTTCTCCAAGTCCTCTCCATTGCAAAAAAAATACCACCATCCGCATGACTGTGGCAAAGCCTGGGTCCATGACGCCACGAAGATTCAGTCTGAAGTTCCCTTGTACAGCTATAATTGTCTCGTGTACTTGCAATCCTTAGCGCGGACACCCCACAAGCTGCTGCGTCTCAATTTTCCATTCCATGATCGCACCTGGATGGCGCCCGTGGGGACCTTCCCCATAAAGCGCGCCAGTGCCTCTCATTGCAAAGGTACCCAGATCCACCCGCACACCTCATTAATGAGAGTTGGCTATTGGGCCACCGTTGTGGCTAGGGAGATGTAGGTTTCGATCATGCTTGATGTTTGGGATGTTGTTTCTTAGGCAAGGGGGTTCTTCGCTCACGATTACCGGCTTCAAACCCAAACTACAATTGCTCCAGCCAGAATCCTGCTCAAGGAGGCCAAGGAAGTCTAAAAACCTTCAATCGCTCTGTTACATGCTCATGGGAGTCTAGGAACCAACTTCACGAATCTGACCTTCGGAAGTGGCATCCCCCCCTTACTTCCACACTTTGGCATACTGCGTCTGCTGAGCATTGATGCTAAGAACGCATATGCCCTGAAAAGCCACGCGGCTACTTAGTTGCTGAACACTTACAGCACTGTGTTCAGGGTACGTGGCGAATGCTCTGCGGAGGCAGAACCTTTTTGTTGCATCTGGACCCCCGCAGGTCTCGCAGGCAGAACTGCCCTGTCAATTTCAAGAATCGTGACAGGCCTGCAAAAGTTCCCTGATGTTTCAGAAATCATCTCAGGATGCTCCTTTAAGCAAGATTGCTTGGTATTCCCGGCCCTCCCAAAAAGAAAACTTATAGGAGCGTCCATTATCAGGGCTTGAGCCACCAAGAAACTCTAACTTATCTTGACTATCCACCTGGCAGTTCTCCAAAAGTAGGGGTTCCTTCTGTAGACAGGATGATACATTTCGCATAACAAGGGCACCCCCGAAAATGACTCCCATTTGTTGGTGTTGAAGATCCTGCACAACTTGTGTGCCGATTTTCGCGCATCTTCAAATACTGAGGAATGTCCCTTCTCTGTAAATCGAGGAAGGAAGGCTGCATGATTCTTCTCTGTCCAAAGATTTCAAACAGCGCAAAGCACCTTGAATCCTCTTTGTGAGGAATGAGAACATGCGGAATCCCAACAACCCTGAGGCCGATCAGCCAATGTACACAGCGCACAACGTCTCTCAGTTGGCAAGGTGATCTTTCTCCCCTGCTTTTGTGCTAGACTCTGCGCCCTCGCACCTGTGGGTTTAACGCCCCAGGCATCAAAACCAACCCTTTCTGAATCCGGCGATTCGGCGCCAGGTTGTCTAACTCGCAGAGCAATCTTTAGAACAAATAGCCGGAAATTGGCAGCAAAATTAGCACTGTTTTAAGCCGTGGTCCAGGCAGCGCTACTAACTTTGCTTGTCCCAGATCCTCAACTCTGTGGCTGCGTGCGCGTCCGGACACGGCAACGTTGAGTTTGCAAGCCACGTTTGGAAGCCAGGCTTTTGAATCTGATCTTGGACCCAGACATCTAGGCTTGGGTGCCTCCAACAATGCACTGGCATGGATGGGACTGGAGGAGTAGGAGCCCAGAAATTTTAGACCCGACGGCGTGCAAAGGCCTCCGATAAAGATGTATTGCCGAGGCGTCGCAAACTTGTAACGAAAACAATTGGCTCTGCAACCCTCCAAAATTTGAAGCCTGCATCCGTTACACGCCTTGGCATTGGCTGGTTCACGCAGTAGGTCATCCATCCGGTGGAAAGAAGCCTCAAGCAAGCGCAGGCTGATGCGACTAGATGACTGAAACCGAAGGTTCGGACGAGAAGACTGGAACTGTGGCTTTTCAGCTTGAAGAAGTTACGAAGAGCATGCAGTTAGCTGAAATGTGTAGGCTTCAGGAATATAGGGAGAACTCCCTCCGCGAACTTTTAATTCTTAGTCAGCAGTCACCTCAGAAGCATGACTCCGAAATCTTGAAAGCATGAAGCTCTCAAAGCGACACGTTTTTATATGAATGTCAGTTCTTTGTAACAATGGGGCTGGCTGCATGTTTGCCCAGGGGCTCCTGTGAGGCTAGATGGAGCTTCATTTTCAGGCCTACCCTGTATGCTAATGTTCTGGTATCCGCTAAAGTGCCCAATATTGCAACTGTCGGAGAGCCCAGTTGATGCTAAAAGTCAAGTCGCACTACCGCTACTTCCACTGAGATCTCACAGACAAAGCATGACCGCAGCTGATTCCTTGTTCATGTCAGCTGCGCAGCGTGGATTGAGTCTGATTTATACTTCTCGCCGAGCGTAACCTGAGAAAGACGACGCAGAGTCAGCCAAAGGTGGAACCGTGGACTTCGCTAGGCAGACTGGCAAAATACATGCCCATGAGTCTCGCTGATGAACGGCCACGCCCGCATCTGTCTCTGAGCTTGGCCCAGGGCTCCCATTCCAATGTCTGAGTCTAAACCAAAGCATCAATAGATGTCCATACACCCATGAAACTAGAGCGAAGATGCACCCGTTGTATCTGAATTCTCTGTGTGCCCTAGTGCTATCTGCTCTCGTTACTGCGAACCCCGGAATATGTATAGGGATTGCCAAGAGATCAGCCTAAACCCCTGCTCGAAACTCCAACTGAAAACACGGAACCCAACACCCTAAGCTCTTAACCCCAGATCCCCAAGTAGAACCCTAATTCTGACCCTATATTATAGCCTTATATAACCCTTTCTAACCCTATATAACCCTTTCTGAGCCTATTTAAACCTGAGGGGTGATGAAAACCCCCCACCCATTTAAATGACCCTTAATCCTGCTATCGTTTGTTTTTACTCTCATCGTTTTACAAAGTTTCGCCGTTA